ATCTACATTTTAGAATTAACTGAGCATTTAGGAGCTTAATGTGTGTTCTGTAATGCTAGCTAGGCAAGCTTGACATCTGGAATCCTTTCTCCTTATCCCATCTCATTGACTCTGGAGAAGAACTTGTAAATGTACCATTGTGTGACTAAAATAGTTAATTTGAAACTGGACCATTGTGTATCTCTTCTGGTAGTCTCTCTCTTTGCCTATCTCCTAGATGGGCCACTCCTCTCCTGACAGGGTATTCTGGTCCCCAAAAGGGGGAGGAGGATCCTTTCCAATGTGACTTGTCCTTCAAGCATCCAAGCCACATGGCTACTGGAGGAAAACCAAATACATATCCTTGGAGGCATAGAGAAACGCTTTGATGACAGTAGCTGAAGATCTGAAGAGACAATCACCATTTATCTAGAACCTTTCACCAGGGCTTGGCTGATGAGTGCTGTCCACCACATAGAGTGTCACTCAATTTCAGGTCCTTCAGGAGCTACCTTCTTAATCCCCAACTGGATTTTGATAGCTTTAGTTGAACTCCCTTCCTTCTGTCTCCAAGTTTAGCCCCATTCACTTCAGCCTGCACGTCCGAAGTTCAAGTGTATATGTATGTCCACAGGGCTCTCACTGACAAGTACAATGAAAATGTCTCATTCTTGTCTGGTTTGCATTTCATTACATTGGGAAACAATATGCCTTGAAACTGCACAGGACAAAGACAAAACACATTTGTTGTAAGAGAAAAAGGTTGATTAACAACATCTAACTGTTGATTGTCTATTAATTTTTGAAGGTATTAAGTATTTGCCAAATGACCAGACCATAGTGAAAAATGAGGAGTCAGTAAAATCTGGAGCTCAAGGGAGTATCTGCAAGTCCCAGAGTCGTTCAGCTCTGCTGTGGAAGCCAATTAAGAGCTTTATCTTAGCATAAAAATAAAGCCAGGTCAAAACCGCATTCTTTCCCCCTGTTTTCTTCCCCCTTCATTTTTTTATTGCCATTTGCCGTTTTTGTTTTTTGTTTTTTGTTTTTTGTTTTTTCCTTTTTAAAAGATCTGGGTCTCTGAAAGGAGGGTGAAGATTTATGTAAAGAAATTGTCGTTTACCAGGAAAAACCCCCTCGAATAATGGTGAGTTTCAAGGACATGTTTCAGGGAGGAATACTTTGTACTCCACTGGGGAGAGAGGCAGGGGCACCAAATTCAGCGTCTTGGAATAATTCCCTTCCTGGATGCAAAGATTCATTTATTGAAATAAATCAGGAAGCATTGGCAGAACGGAAATCCGCTTGCTGGGTTTAAAGGGTCTTTAAAATGTTGTGAGTGTTAGATTGCAAGTCTTTTCTAAATATAAAACAGAAGAAAAGACCGCAGTGTTTCCCTTGGACCTAAAGAAAATTGCTAGGTCTCCGACTTAGGATCATTTCGTGTCCGGTACAGAATTTTGAAAAATACTGCGTGATAACACAATGTGCGGCACATGTTTTGTTTTGAGGCGACTGGAAAGAAGGGCGAAGCGCTGCGACTAGGGCTCTGGGTTCTATGGAGAGCCCAGTTCCACCCTGTTGCCCCTCACAGCGTTCTTTTTTTTTTTACCCCTCCTTCCCCTCCTCCAAGACAGGTCCTGTAAAGAATCAGACTCCAATGCTTTGCTCCTTTGGCAATGATCAGCTTCTCTGATTTTATTTATTGCTTTAGATTTGAGTATAAAAAAATAAATCTTTTCTGCCTTTACTGTTTGAACTCAGTGTGAGGGAAAGGATCCTATTATATTTCCTATCCATGCAGACATGTGGATATTTAGACCAGACCACATACAACTGGGGGACACATAAAAGAGATTTATTGGTTAATTTAGGCTGCCTAATACACATGTAAACCCCAGTAAGCCAAAGTTGCTGAGGGAGCCTCGGTTATAGGGGAAAATAAGAAGCACGACCCGGGTTCGAGCGGTGCCGCCCGACGCTAAGACTCCTTTCTGCACCTGGCGAGGGAGGGGGCGCGGATAGCAGCGCTTTCCACCTCTGGCCCTAGCTTCTGTGCAGGGAAAATTTTGCTCTTTCAAGTCAGCACTTGACTGGCTCTCAGCCTCAGCTCCTCAGAGCTCTCTGTCCACCCCACTCCCACCCCACCCCGCGCCCCGCAAGTCGTTCCCAAAGTCTCCTTCAAAAAAAGCAAGTTGGGAAAGAAGCTGAAAGTCTTGGGAGAAAGTTAACTTTTCTCTTGCCCAACACCCTTGACTGTTTTGTGAGGCGCGGGTAGCTTTATTTTCTCCTGCAGTGACTGGATTACAGCTGGAGAGCTACTGTTTTCCACCGCGATTAAGAGTCAAGGCTTCTCCTCCCCAAATAGGGACACTCCCACTCATACCAACCACAACAGAATCGGAAATGGCCTGCCTGTGCCATGCTGCTCCTAGAGTCCCCAGTCTCATCCTCTGGGGTGTATATGGAACCCCTGAGCCTCACTAAGCAACTGCAGTCTTAAGGGGCCTGGCTGCCCAGGGACGAGTTCTTCTGCCCCGGTTTTGGCCTAGCTGAATCGCCTTAGGTCTGCCTCTTAACTCGAACTCCCCCTCCCCCTTGCCCACCTTCCCACTTCTCGGTTGATGATCTAATTGAATTATGCCTTTTTGTTCCAGGGACTGCAAAGCACGTGCTGGAGGCAATTAATTATCGGAATGTGGCCGCATCAAAACGGACACTGGGTACCGGGTAGGTCAGCGGCGGCAACATCCCCTTGCCCTGCGTTCGAGACTCCTCCCCAAAAAGAGGCATGCTAGTTCCCAGCTGCCAACCTTCTTCTGTAGTCCCTTGACGGGTTGCTTGCCCAGGTTTCCAATGGTGCAAGACCCTCGCTTATCCGGGTAACTGCAGGGACTGCCGGGAAACACTTGCAGCTCCGGTGGCGGGACAGCCGCCTTCCCTTGATCTCCAAGCTTCCAGAATCGCTTTCTCCAGGATCCCTTCATTGAGGGGATTCAAACTTTTTTTTTCTTCCAACAGTTACACGTCCTAGGATGGTAGGGGTGAGAAGAGGTAGAGGAATGCTCAGGAGGAAAGGAAGGAAAAATAAGGGAACAAGGGAAGGAAGGAAAGTAGTCCTTCCTTTTTGCAAGCCTGACTCCTCGAATTCATTTGCATGATTTAAGCTTATTTGTCATTCTCTAAAATTCCCTACCCCCCCCCCCAAGAAACTCTGTAAAGGGAGAATGAAACCCGTTTTTGGAGAGCTTATTTTCAGTAGATGCAATAATTTATGTCAGCAGTGAACTCACCTTTCAATTTGAAGAGAGGGCTCTGGATGTGGAGGGAGATGGGGTGAATTTGATGTGGAAGGGGTGACTCCTCTCATATGGTACCAGTAGCATTTTCTCCCAACAAACTAGAACAGGAAGTGGAGTGTTGGGCCCGATCAGGGAGATAGGGGGGCAAAAAGTGGAAAACTGCAGTTCTAAAGCGCTACTTGACGGCTGTCTCTCCTGGCGTCTCTGAACTTGATCAGAGAGATGGCCGCCAGGCTGTGAGGCAAGGACTTTGGGGGCTCTGCCCTGCTCGGGATGTGACAATCACAACATCTCTCAGCTTTTCCTTTCCATCCACCCTCCTTCATCCTCTGCTAGTGCTTTGCTGACAAATCATGGGTGGATTTATAACCCTCTTTATTGTCATATTGTTCAGAGAAAAACCTCCCACCAGGGGTAGAGTAGTGGGGTAAGAAGGCCACTCCAACACAATCCCCTGGAAAGTAATTCGGTAGGGAGTAACTGCTTCCCTGGGTTACTAGGTGCTTCTCTATGATGGCATAGAAGACAGTAAACTAAAGCCCAGGGTGTTGAGAGGGGAGAGAATTCCATACCCCAGTTTTTCTTTCCACTTTTGGGTTACAAAACGTTGAAGACTGTTGGTTCAGTCATACGGAAACCACAGTTAGTGTCTGGTGTCTTTTGTGTACACAAGCTGTGTTCTCGCACATTTAGCACTTAAGCATGTTTTCTGGTGTGTCTAGTATGTTTACTGTGCTGTGTTTTAGTGCTGATACTGTGTTGTGTGTGCTTACTTTAGTATGTTATGCATGTTTCCTGAGGTGTGCTTGTTTTCTGTGTTTCGTTTGAGTTTCCTGTTGTGTGCTTAGGTATATAGGATTGTGGTATTCTGTCTGTTATATCTGGGGGGGGGGGTTGCTGAGTAGCAACGAGTATAGCCCCTAACAACAGATCACAAGGTCACATCCTGACTCCGAAGTACCCGAGGATGGCACTATGAGCAATCTAATCTTTCCTTCTAGTTTGGGCTTTGGAGGACTGCCTCTAGTTTGGGACACAAGCAGAGAGGGAGCTGACTCGGGCTTGGTCTGGGATCTCCTAATAGGGTGTGGGGTGGAAGCCGCAGCTGGGTCTGGCACACGGATCTGTCCCATTCATGGCAGGAATTTGTTCCCGGCACCTTTGGAGGGAAAATGGTTTCTAGGTGGTGAGGCTCCAAGGTCCCAAGTGGGCACTAGAGTGTTTCCTGGACCGTAAAGGGAGCGATAGCGAGAAGAATCTTCTCGGGTCAAAGAGTTTCTTTAGCCTAAGCGGGTACAGAGCTCGCTGGGCGTGCTTGGGACCGGCTTGGAGCAGGGCCAAGCCAGGGAGAGGCCCAGCTCTGTCCCGCCGCTTGCTGAAGCCTAGCCCCAGTTCCCCACAGTCTCGCAAGCCCGGCGGAACCCACACAGGGACGCTGAGCAGTCGCCGCCTCACCTGCCAGGCGCTCCGCAGCTACCCAATCAGCTGTGGTCGCCCAGCGGCGGCTGCCATGTTCTCCGCTTCGCGCTGCCAATCAATGCTGCAATGGCCAATGGGCGGTAGGGCCGGAGGTCAGGTGATCGCAGGCCAGCTGGCTCCCCATTGGTGCGCGCTGCCCAGCCTCCCGCTCGGTTTATGTGCGAGGAGTGAGTGATTGACTTTATCAGTCCAAGGACATTACTCTGGAGGTGAAGAGGCTTGGACTCGCGAGGCGAGCGGCGAGGTTCGAGCCTGCTTACTGCCGGCTGCCTTCCCCCTGGCCGCGATCCACCTCCGCTACTTGGTGCAGTCGCGCCGGGAAGCCGGTACCCAAGGAGCCTTCTGGCCCCGCGGTTCTGCGCTCTTGAGTAGAGGAGGGGTTCCCGGGACAGGATTGACAAACCCCGCCCTCCACTTATTATTTTGCTTATTTTCTTTGTGCGCTCCTGTTAGTTTGTTAAAGCAGATTTAGTCCTAGAGTCTTTTCTCCTCCCCTTTCCCTCCTCCTCTCCCATAACCCTCCCCCCAATCCTTTTTCTTCCCCTCCTCCCTCCTGTCCCTCTGCAGGAGACTCTCGCAGCAAAGGAAAGTTGCAGCTCCGGGCAGCGCTTAGGGGGTCTCCGGGGAGTGTTCAACTGCCGCCAGCCCTCTCGGACTGCGGTCTTTCGGGGAGCTCCTCCTTCGCCGGCACCCTCGCTCACTTCAGTCGGATCTTCTGTGTCCAGAACGCCCCACCTATGACGATGCTCCTGGATGGAGGCCCGCAGTTCCCTGGCCTGGGAGTGGGCAGCTTCGGTGCGCCGCGCCACCACGAGATGCCCAACCGCGAGCCGGCGGGCATGGGACTGAATCCCTTCGGGGACTCAACCCACGCTGCTGCTGCCGCCGCTGCCGCCGCCGCCTTCAAGCTGAGCCCAGCCACCGCTCACGATCTGTCTTCGGGCCAGAGCTCAGCTTTCACACCGCAGGGTTCAGGCTATGCGAATCTGGGCCACCATCATCACCACCATCACCACCATCACGCCAGCCAGGTACCCACCTACGGCGGTGCTGCCTCTGCCGCCTTCAACTCCACGCGCGACTTTCTCTTCCGTCAGCGTGGTTCTGGGCTCAGCGAGGCAGCCTCTGGCGGCGGGCAACACGGGCTTTTCGCAGGCTCGGCGAGCAGTCTTCACGCTCCAGCTGGTATTCCTGAGCCTCCTGGCTACTTGCTTTTTCCTGGGCTTCATGAGCAGGGCGCTGGGCACCCGTCGCCCACAGGGCACGTGGACAACAACCAGGTCCATCTGGGGCTGCGCGGGGAGCTATTCGGCCGTGCAGACCCGTACCGCCCCGTGGCTAGCCCGCGCACGGACCCCTACGCGGCCAGTGCGCAGTTCCCCAACTACAGCCCCATGAACATGAACATGGGCGTGAACGTGGCGGCCCACCACGGGCCGGGCGCCTTCTTCCGTTATATGCGGCAGCCCATCAAGCAGGAGCTATCCTGTAAGTGGATCGAGGAAGCTCAGCTGAGCCGGCCCAAGAAGAGCTGCGACCGGACCTTCAGCACCATGCACGAGTTGGTTACACATGTCACCATGGAGCATGTGGGGGGCCCGGAGCAGAACAACCATGTCTGCTATTGGGAGGAATGTCCCCGCGAGGGCAAGTCTTTCAAGGCGAAGTACAAACTGGTCAACCATATCCGAGTGCACACAGGCGAGAAGCCCTTCCCGTGTCCCTTCCCGGGCTGCGGGAAGATTTTTGCCCGCTCTGAGAATCTCAAGATCCACAAGAGGACCCACACAGGTAAGGGGAGCAGACAGGTGGGCGCGGGACTCCCCAGGGGCACCCTGCCACCAAGAGGACTAGAACAGAGAGGGAGAGAGAGGGGTGGAGGCCAAGCGGAGGGGCGGCGCCCCGCGGAGGCCATTCAGTAAAGAAGCGCTGTCAGTGCCTCCCTCACCCTCCGGGAACCTGCGGCGCTTTTGCCCAGTACTAACTTCCAGAGCAGATTGCTGTGGTCGCGGGAACTAATTGGGACCTTCTCGCGCCCGGGAACCAACTGGCGCCACCTCTTTTTGTGTTCTTTTCTGGGTTACTAGGAAGAGACTCCCAAAGTGTTGGGAGTATATTGCTTACAAGAGACTTAGCTCTCTGAACACATTCGAGGAAGGCAACCATAGAAATGCTAATGAAAACTAACTTGGGTTACTTCCGTTCTTTTTTACACTTGATTGGCATATCTCCTAATTAAATGACTGATACTTTTGTCAAACAATTTTTATTTGGAGTTGCAGGTTCATTTCAGTCCTCTGGAGGAAAGCTAAAGTAAAAAAGGCACTACAGTTTCCGTGGCTTGCTCAAAATCTCTTGCAAAATTGTACGTAGCCCCCTAGATTTATATAGTGTTCTCTTTGCGAAAATTAGTAAGAGTACCAGGCTTAGCAAAATCTCTAAAATTGAAAGAGGCAAATTAAAAGGCACAAAGAAGGGGACGAATAGGACTGTCCCATCCCCGGCCCATTGTCCTGGCCAGCTTGGTTACACCGCCTAAGTGGTGGCTCAGTGTGCCCGCACATTGAGGGCCCTGGTTATTTTGGAGTGGGACCACAACTTAGGGCAAACTTAGGGGGAAATCCCGAGGTTTCTTGTCCTGGAAGAACAAAGGGATGATCAGGTTCTGGGCTGGCCCTACTCTACCCCTACCTCAGATCACCGCTCCCCAACCCAGCGAGCTCAAGTAACACTCCCGGTTTGTCTCCGGGGAAAACAGATGCCACATCCTTCCACAGTCCGCGCTTCCCTCCACGGAAAGACCGCTGGACTCCCAATCTTGAGCTGTAGGACTCTGAGAAGTTCCTGTGTCTTACTGAATTCTCCCCCTACCCCTTTTGCAATTTTGCCTTGTTGCAGGTGAGAAACCTTTCAAATGTGAATTTGAAGGCTGTGACAGACGGTTTGCCAACAGCAGCGACCGCAAGAAGCACATGCATGTGCACACCTCGGATAAGCCCTATATCTGCAAAGTGTGCGACAAGTCCTACACGCACCCGAGCTCCCTGCGCAAACACATGAAGGTAATTACCTCTTTATTAGCGGTGGGCGGTTTGTAAACAGTCGGCCCGACACCGGCCGGGCGGCAGAACGGAAGCTCCCGCACTGCCAACTCTGTCCTCTACGTTAAATCCTATTTGCTCCAGCACTGACACCTTGAACCCATTTTGAGTATGGAGGTGGGGGGGGGGGTGAAAACGAGAGTACAGTTGGGAGAGGGAGAGTGGAGGATATTTACTGGGAAGCTCTAACCGAGTTCGCCAGGGCTGGAGGCTGGAGTAGCCACCGCATCCTATCTCAGCCCACTGGGAATCCAAAGTGGAAGCTTGGAACCCAGGGGAGGGTCATTCTTTTGCTCCTCAGTTTCTGATAAAACAATAGGGCCTAGGAGCGTCAGACTTATTCTAATACGTTTGTGTGGGAGTTCACAGCCCTCAGTCCCCACCCCACTCCTGTGCCACTCATCTCTCTATACCTGCTTTCCCAGGCTGAAATCTCGAGTGACTATTTCATAGGGCCCGCAGAATAACTACTTGCCCACTCCATCCACGGAGAAAGCATTTTTGGAGTGGCACGACTAAAATGGAATTCTTTATTCCTTTTCCAGCCTGATTTTTGGTGGAAATGCTAGGGGGGTATCAGTAATATGGAAAAAAAAATAAATCAAGTTTTTCTTTTTAAGTGGGTCAGCTGGGTCTTGCTCTTAGAGTATTCAAATCTGCCCTTGTTGTTGTTGTTCGGGGATTTTTTGCTTTCACATTGCCATTTGGAATTATATTCATTATAATGTATACATGTTAATTTTAGGTTCATGAATCTCAAGGGTCAGATTCCTCCCCTGCTGCAAGTTCAGGCTATGAATCTTCCACTCCACCCGCTATAGCTTCTGCAAACAGTAAAGATACCACTAAAACCCCTTCTGCAGTTCAGACGAGCACCAGCCACAACCCTGGACTTCCTCCCAATTTTAACGAATGGTACGTCTGAGGACAACCAAAATGCATTTTAAAAAAGAAAACTGAGACCAATCAGATGGAAAAGGAGTTTTAAAGCAAGAGGCCATGTAGAGGGCTACTTCTTGGTAATTTCAATTGTTCAGGAAGGTTTTGGGTAAATCCAAAAGTAGCGGTGCCCTTTTCTCAGGATTAGAAAATACATTTTGGCGTTTGAAGGGTTTTTTTTTTTTTTTTTTTTTTAACAAAAATCTTCACTGCTTGTCCTGCCCCTTCCTCTTGCTCTCTGTACACCCCATTCTGAAACTCCTTCAAATCACTTTAACACTTGTCCTGTGTCTTGAGGAAGTTATCCAAGGCTTGGTGGTGGTGATGTTACACTGATGAAAATTCTCCTTCGCCTTAGTGGTGATTGTTTAAACTCTCACAGTCTTAAACCATGCCAAAGTCCTGTTATGTCTTGAACTCTCTTCAAAGCATTACACTTGTGAATGTATCTTTGTTTATCTAATGGGGTCGAAACTGTTGTTCAGTAGTTTTTTCAGGCTGAGGATATGATGTTACTCTACACAGATTGTGACGTTTAGTATACAGTTGCCTTTTGTAATAACTTTCTTTTTGTAAATACATATCCGTTGATGCCATATTTATCGTTTGTAATTTAATTATTGCTGCAAGTGCCGGGAACTGAACAATATTTATGGATAAATGTTTTCTAACAAATTCTGTACAGCTTTTGATTATAACTGCTTTAGCATTAAACAATTATTGTTTTGAAAAAAGGAACACAATTTACAATTTTTGAACCACACTGACTTTTTTGTTTTGTAACAGTCTCCTACAAATAGGAGATGTGAGTAAACTGAATCTTGTTTGTTGGTATTTATAACTCACTCAGATCCGTTTTTTAATTGTTAAATTATTTTTCTATTGCAGTATATAGATTCCTTACAATGTCAGTTACCATCTGGGACAGACCCTGCTTTCTTTATCGCTAGCTCAGATGGTTGTTTAACTGCGAGTTTAAATGTGTTTGTCCTGGATTTTCGGCATGCAAATCAAATAATACTGATCAATTCACTTAGTGGCCATGACATCTCAATCTTGTACTTCAAAGACTGAGAATCTGGATTTAATCATCCCTGCCCTACATATATAAACATAAGGTAACCTAATTAGTTTTATGTCCCTTAGTTCTTTATTACCTTATATAAAAATGGAAATTATGGCAGGATGCATGTCTATGGAGATCACTCATAACTATATGTTTGTATCTATGACTTATCTAATCTGCCTATCAAATCTATTTAGCTCTATTTTCAAAAGATAGCACACCTCTGTAATAATGGCAATGAGCAAGGCTGGTTGAGCAGTGCTTCTCATGGTTAAAGTGCTTCTTCTTTAAAGAACCATAGTCTTTAAATTTTGGATGGCAAAAGCTGATTTGTTTGCTGTATATAGTTCCATTCATGATTATCACATATTCATACATTTATATAGCTGTGTAATAACTGCAGCAGTACCTAAATGATACTGTGGAAAGAAAAAAAAACATTTGCAAAATATGTTATTTTTAAAGTTCATTACTTGTAGGCAAAGATGTTAAGAGCATTGTTTCCATTAAAATCAGTAACAATGAAAAAATGGTTGTTTGTTTTGTGATAAATTGTTAACAATACATTTAATCTTCAGTAAAGCAACTCATTTGGACAAACAGTTCTTTTTATAATGGGTCTATGGAAGAAAACTGATTTACTATTTTGGGGGTTTGAAGTGGGTAGAGTTTGGAGACATTTTTTAGGGTGCTGTTGGTTGTTGGGAGCCCAGTCTCTTCTTGAATTACAGAAAAGTGAAGATAAGGAATTGTAAAGTATTTAGAAATGTAATGAATAGACTTAAGTACCTCTTTTTCTTTAAGGGGCAATGCTCTCGGTTTTGGTGGCAGTCATTTTGGTATTATAATAATTTTCAATTCTAGAATTTTGTTGATTGTTCTTTTTGAAGAAAAAGTCTTGGCACATCGTATTTATGTTATAACATTTTTGTATTTGGTGCCCAATATTTTTCCATGTTCAAATAAATCAATCTAAAATTGAAATGCTAAGAATTTCTGGTGGTTTAAAAACAAATTTTGATTCTCATGATACATTAAAAAATCTGTTATTTACTGATTTTTGTCAGCAATTATTGATAATTTCTAATTACAAATTGCTTTGGAGGCAATGTTTCGTTAGTGAAATGGTGTCTTTTGTTCTTCACTTTGCTAATATCCATCTGAATATCACAAACAGGAATTGGGATGGTTACAAATGTGATGAGCAGGTAATTGGTCAGTTTACCACACCCTACCCAGACATTCCAATCTTGACCTTGACATTGAGGGTTTTGGACCAGATCCATATTTTAGGCTTCCTGCTTCATTCAAACTATTTTAAATGCTCAGCCATTTTAGATGTCTTTTTATTAATAAGACTCTAAATTTGTGTTATTGTGAAATGGAAATGGCTGGCCTTTTACATATTCAATGAGCCTCCACAATTTACTGTTTTCTTCATGAGTTCCCTCCCTGCACACCCCGATCCTAACCTAACTTTAAGTAGAGATAGGTTGAGTTCCCTGGCTAAAAATCCTTGCTTACATTCATTTTGCACAAGAAACACCTCATTAAGAGACACAAATAGTTCTAGGGATTTGTTTAGTGGCTTGAAAGTGTTGTACTATAGATTTTTACAGAAAAGCACTGAGTGTCCTGTGAGAGGAAGCTGACGAATAATAACCCAATAACTATAAAAATGTTTTCTCTTGATTCCCTCTTGACTTGGAAACAGTAAATTTCTCATTTATGCATTATGCATTTTTTCTACAAAGAAAACTGGTTTTTTTTCTTTGATTTTCTTGCTCATCATGTGGCATTGAGAATGCATATTTATATTCTTGAATTGTAAGTAAGCACTTGTACCCCAAGTCACAAATGCTAAAGCCTAAATTCTAAGCTGGGTTAGCATAAGTCTCAGGAAAAGTGGGGAAGACCTTCCAGGCACGACAGATTAACTCTGGCCTTCATCCAGTTCAGAAGGTTCAAAGATCAGCATCCAGGCAAAGGAAGATAGTCTCTAGTAGGTACTGTGAAGGGTGTTATAGTCTTCACAAAGCCTTCTAGGAAAGTTCGTGTGCACTACACTCTGCATCACCCTATTTCTGCTCGACTACTTGCCTCTTTTGCCCCTGGGTTCCACATCCCCTTTTCCTAAGAAAACACACCCAAACCACACCAGAAGTCCAATGAAGTACTAAATTAAACTGTAAGTTTCTTAAAGGCTCTACCACCATCTGAACGGAGTGTCTTTCTGTACTTGCGCCTAAGCTTATTTTCTGTCACAGCCCTGGAATTCCAAGGCTACAGTTGGGCACTAGCTGGGAGAGTGACACTAGTGGTTTCAGAAGTCCTTGGGGAGCCCAGGGGCCCTGTCCACACACCAAATTCTTCTAAATCTCTCCTTGAGGTTTGGGAAGGGAGGAGGGGACCTCATTTCCTAGGGTCAATTCTCCAGCGGTTTCTGCCCGCTGACCCTTTGACCTCCACCAACAGGGCCCTTGGCGGCCATAAGCTAGCGGATCTCCTTGGGCTCCACGGATGCTTCGCGCCCCATCGCCTCTAGGCCTCATTAGGCCGGCGGGGCTGTAAAGCAGAAATCAGCCTCTGCCTAATCCCGACCTGGGGTCAATACGAGCCCAAACAATGGCGAGCTCCGAAGGCTACAGCATCGCGCTGCCAGCAAACTTTGTGTTCAATTCCTTTTCCACTGGCGGTGGGGGTAGGGTTGAGGGTGAGGATGGTGGTACCCGATGGGCGCTTGCAGCATCAGCATCATTCCGCAAACTCCTTGCTCGACCCTCCAAGAGCATTACGGTGTCAGGGACAGAGGCGGTGAAGCTCTGGCCTGCTCTGAGTATGAGGCTGACCCAAAAGGGGCCTCCTCCACACTGGGAACACACTTTGAAGTGGGTTTTTAGCGAACACGTGTGAGAGCTCGGCCCGGGCCTTAGCGAGGACTCGCAGGGAGGAAAGTGGAGGCTCCGATCCGGGCCTCAACCCCTCCCCTGCTCCCCATGGCTTCGGCCTTTTCAAGCCCAGACAGGGGACCAGAGGACTCCCCCAACCCCCATCCCCGCGGGCGCGGCGCGCAGGCGCATAGCCTTACAGCCGTCGAGTAGGATTTTGTGGCCGGGGTGGATAGGGGGGGGAGTTTGAAAGCAGCCTCGCGGGGAGGGCGGCCTTGGCTAAGCCTGGGGTGGGGGGCGGGAGAAAAGGAGAGGGATGTGGGAAGGAGGGTTGATTTGGGGGCGGCTCTCGAGTCAGGAACATGGCGGCCGGATGCGAACCCCCGTGGAGCGCCGCACAACGCAGACTACGGGCTGCCGCGCTGTGGTGTCGTTGAAATTCCCTGGTTATTCCTCAGCGCTGGCGCCTCGCGGGACAATGTAGGTCGTGGCAGTTGAACGCAGTTTAAAAACAAACAGACAAAAACGGAAGCGAAGAAGTTCTTCCTGGGCACGCTGGTGGGAAATTGATGTGCCCTTTAGGGGGGGTTGGGGTTCTCACAGGATTTGGGGCACAAAACCCACCAGAAGAAGCTCCTGGTACAAAAGCATCCCTTCCCCTCCCCCCAGTGTGTGTGTGTGTGTGTGTGTGTGTGTGTGTGTGTGTGTGTGTGATTTCCAGTTAGCTGTGTCCCTGTTAAGATTCCTCAGCACCTTCCAGTCCTTAAAACGAACACTACATAGTGTGTTGTCTTCTCAGGACAATGGTCAAGCCGATTAGGATAAGAACGAAGGCTTCTCAACCCACTTGAATCTTTCAGAGTTCGAATGCTACCCTTTCACCAGGCCTCGTTTTCTGCATAACCCATTTAAAAACCTACAGAAACCCAGCACTGTTAACGCTTTTGTGTGTGTACCCACAGCTGGTAGTCTTAGGTTAAAGGGGGAAGGGGGCCGAAATAACCCAAACTTCCGTTCCCATCTTGATACCTTCATGATGGACTGTGAA